CTCCCTCCCTCCCTCCCTCCCTCCACCTGCCCCATCCCTAATGCAAGTTTTTTCTGCCCTCTTTTTTCCAGGATGTCACAGGCGATACCGACGCTTCGAAATTCGAAGTCGACTTCGAGCTGCTCGAAAAGTCAATCACCAGGAAGACTAAGATCCTCCTCGTGAACACACCGTGCAATCCTCTTGGCAAGGTGAGCAAAAACGCACTTTGCCTACCTATCCCTCGAGTATTTTATGCAGTGCGGTCAGAACGTAACTGTAATGTAACATGCCTACCTAAATCAATTAAGTAGTTATGTTATGGTGACATAAAGTCGCTGGGGCAAAGCTCCTCTAGTCACACATGCACACACATACGCAGGCATTGACTTTTGGCTGCCGTTGCAGGTGTGGACAGTGGAGGAGCTGAAGAAAATCGCCGAGATTTGTATTCGTCGCAATCTGATTTGCCTCGCCGATGAGGTCTACGAGTGGGTGGTCTTCCCTCCAAACAAGCATTACAAGATCTGTAAGTAGGCGCCGACGCAGTCGCCTCTTGTTAGCCACTATTCTACGACCACAAGCCTTAAAGCTGACATGTCTCCTAATTCTTCCTCCCCCCGCCCTGCGCCCTCCTGTTAGCTTCCTTCCCGGGCATGTGGAACCGAACTCTCACCATCGGCAGTGCTGGCAAAACCTTCCAAGTGACTGGCTGGAAGATTGGTTGGACCGTGGGCCCCGAACGTTACATTAATGCTATGTCAATAATACAACAAAACACCGTTTATACCTGCGCCACTCCATTGCAGGTGGGCACTGCTGCTGATATTCACTCTCACACACAGCTATTTCCTGTCCGTGATGCGCTGTGAACACTGAGTGTTCTCTCTCTCCTCTCTCCCCACAGGAAGCGCTTGCTTTAACCATTGAGCAGGAGCTGCCGCTGCTTGGCACCGAACAGAGTTTCTTCCACTACATCACGCAGGAAGTTATGCGGAAGAGCCGGCGTGTTGCGGAGGCGCTAAAGAAAGTCGGAATGCCAGCAATTATTCCCCAGGGTGGATACTTCCTGATGGCCAGCATTGAAAAAATGCGTAAGTCTCACGATTTCGGTCCGCATTTTGCTGGTAAAAGGTTCTT